AGGTACATAGTATCGGTATTACAGAGCAATCGGAAAATGATAAAGATGCGTACATTATAACTAGAGCACGACGAATAAAGTGATAGTAACGAATGATGTGACATATGACAAAAGAATTCCACTGAAACTGAAAGTAAATTTTGCCAGACTGCCGTAAAATCAGCATCAAAAATGATACATTACACTCAATGTCAATAGAACAAGTGCGTGTTGCAGAAATGCTTACATGGGTGAGTAATTAGCAAAAACGATCAAATTAAAAAAGAATATATTAGTAGTAGTCTCGGTGTGAGATTTATGGTTAGAAAATGTTTTATCTAAGAATGTTCTAATATGACACATCGCACAAGCTGAATTCCTGGACGAACTGGGGATATCTATAATGAAAATAACAAATTGCTTAATCTTCCCTGATGATGAGGTCAAAAACCAAAAGATATCCTCGCTAAATTGATATTATATATGGTCTAATAGTAGTAGCAATATTGCTCAAATAAATATTCCACTAAATGTAATGTCAATAGCAAACCCATTTTATTTAACATCGTCATTTATCATACTAATTACACCTTCGATAACAACATTCTGAACCTCTTTATGGTGATATCCCCTATCAGAAACGATATCTGTTTAATTTGTAAGGTCGGTGACACCATGAATGGCAATTATCCATAAAAATTATACTAAGAAAAAATAAGGACAAATTATTAGATATTATACATAAAAAAGAACACTAAGAAAAATTATTGTGTTAGATATTTCTGTGAATTGTGTTTGTGTTTAGTTTAATGATGACAATAGTAGTAAAAGTATAAAAAAACATAAGATTTTTGGTAGAAAACGAAATAATTGAACAGGTCGGTCAAACTAGCTGGATAAAAAAGTGGAATAAGAAATAAAATAAATAGCAAACAGATCAGTAGGCTATCTGAGCAATTCAATACAGAAGTAATCTAAAATGTCCATATTATAAATTAGAACCATACATTAAGAACATTAAAGATTTCACGTTGAGCAACTGAGGGCACTTTCAATGTTTTATCAGATATAAGTACCTTTGGATATGAGATAAACTTAATTTTTCTTATTGAGTGAGAGCCAAATGACTATTCCTTAAGCATAATTGTTTATTTATATGCATACAGTTTATTTTATCAGTTTTTTTTTATGACCAAATGTAGAACCAAATAATAAACTAGAGACTTCAGGATAAAAATTCCGAAAAAAATATTTCTTATAAAAAGTGGCTTCTGTGGGGTTTTTTGTTAGATTCTCTGCTAGATCAGACACCTCAAGAGTAGCAGATATATGGGTGAAACTGAGAGAAAATGAAATACTCGGGGTGGTCTAAAAATATAGTAATCAACATCAGCAGCTGGATCACCATGGATCACCATAACCAAACACAAGTTCTCCCTAGAACAAGCAATCATGGCGAAGCTACATACAATGGCCTTCAATCCACACATACCTTTATGAGACGATACAGTCAGGAAAAGGAAGATGCCAACATCGAGAAGGCCACTCTGACTACTCTGACAATGATTTAACAAATCACTTGAATGGCGTTGCTGTAGTAGTACTAATTGATTTCATTCCAAATTCAGACAGAAGTAAGTCTGTTAGGGCACATCAAGGTCTGCCTAGTCAATATCAATATAACACAGTGCTATGCTCCAATGCAGATAAGAATGAAAATAAAATACAAAAGTTTTATAAAGAATTAAAAGATGTCTTAAAATATACTAGGAAAAACTATAAGGAGTTAGGTGATCGTAATGCCAGGAAAAGGCATAGTCACAAATATTGTGAGTATAGTTTGTTTGTTATCTCTTATGAAAATAGGAAAACTAAGATAGACAGGACATCTGGCAAGATCACAGCAAAACAACTCTCCTAGGAGAATCCTTATGTCACAACATGTGAGAAGTAGAAGTAGGGGTAGGCAAAAACTCAAATGGAGGGATGGTGTAGATGAGGATGGTAGAAAAATAGGCGCAGCAAACTGGCAAGAGTTGGCAATGGATAGAACTGACTGGCGAAATAGACTTGGGAAGGTCGAGGCTCTTCTATAGGGCTGTAGTACCAATCATGATGATGATAGTTTGGGAGAAAGCAATGAAAGGGACTGTATGTTAACACCTTGACGGACACCTAAGTTATTTAAAAATAGTCAATTTGTACAGTGTCCTTTTTGTCGATATTATTACCATAATATATTACGATAATTTACCAGATGGGTAACAGATTGGAAGGTATAGATAGGTATTCTACGACAGTGGATTACGTGTTACCATGTATTTATATTATAAATATAACGCGGTACAGCGTTCTGCCACGATATTAAATTTTGTTAAGGACGCTTCACAGCGTTCTGTCACAACACAATTTTAAAAAAAGACGCTGCACAGCATCTCTGTCCATCAACGTGTTAATATGGTAATATCAAGAAGAAAATTTCCTATAATTAACTCTTGGTTTAAGACTAGTTCTCATAAACTCTACACTTAGCAGTCCCTAAAACATAGTGAACTATATATTGTCAGAAACTAAATAGATTTGATACTCTTCAGAGACAGATTTAGAAACAGAATTTGTAGTGTTATGGCATATATACCCCTGTACTGACATTGGATCAGACCACAACCCTGTCATAGGAAATTTTTCGTCTGAAAAAATTTAACAAGAAACAATCTAAAAGGGTCAGAAACTATCGGACATCCATGACTTTAGAAAAAATATTAAGTAAGATTGGGATACTTTGAAGAGCTTCATAGTTTCATTAGAAAAGGAAATTATAAGCCTAAGAGCAACAAAAAAAATAAAGAATGTATGTTCGAAGAAATATTACAGATGATAAACATGAGAAGATCATTTAAGAACACTGGAAAAACAGATAAGAGAGGAGATTGAAACTCCAAAAGAACAATGGTTGATAACTAGGTGTCCAAAGGTAAAGAAGCAACAAAGGCATAATTAGTTTGCTATGTATAAAAAACCAAAGAATTGACAGGACAGGGAAGACAAAATTTCACAAATAAAACAGTAAACAACAAATAATAAAAGATTAAAACCATCTAATACTAAACTATTATTAGTAGTTGAAAGTATTTTTGGAAAACTGTCCTTTTATTCAGAATAATCTCAATACCAATGGGGTTTTTAAAGCAATTTGCTGTTCTTGTTCTTAATAGATAAGGCACTCTGATAAAATAACATTTGCTAAAAGAGTATAGTTTGTCTCATAGTCGAGAAAACCCAATTTCATGTAAATATGTCTATAAAATAATTTTCTGGTATGCAAGTGTCTTATTAACTTCACTTGTTTATCTTATATCTATTTAATACTTAATAATAATAAGCTAAATATTTTTATTTAGCTGTGTTTTGATAAAAACCAAAATAAGTCTTCTAGTTTCTAATACTAGAACTAATATGACAATACTAAAATTAATAAATGAAGAGGGAAAAAATATATTAACTATTATAGAGCCTGGAATAATTTATTGTAGAAGTGAAACATGGTGGCTATTATTATGTCTCCTCTTATATTATAATGGTAATCACAGGACTAATTCTAAACTTTCATCACCATTATTTGTATTTATTTTATTTTGTTTGAGTCAATTTAGGGTTTTTGTACAAAAAAACCTTGATATTTAAAAAATAATAAAAGAAAATAATTTTGTTTCGCCTAAACAATATCTTTCAACAACACCATATTATCTAGATTTTTTTAAATATGTTTGTTTTTATCTGTAATTGTTACTGACAATGTTTTGTTATGTATTTTAATAATAATGACATTCCATTTGTCAAAAGCAGATATGCGAAAGTACTGAATTTATTATTAATTCTTATTATTAGTGCACATAACTTTAAAATGTAAATATAACTTATACAAAAACAATATTACACCGACTACCTTTGGGCTAAGTAAAATGAAAATAACTAAATATATTTACTAATATATTGATTTTCTCTTATATCATTATTATTGTTATTTGGCACCCTTCAGATTCTAACTGTGTGCGCCTATGGTGTAAATCAAAACGTAATTACTTTTCTACACCTACACAATCATCTTGTAATTACAACCAACATCCCGAATTTGGAAAGAATACAGAATATAAAAAGCAATCAATAAAAGTATAGATTCCATATACGGCTACATAATAATAAACTGAAAGAAATAGAAAACCGAATTAAAATTAATCTGTAAACAATCAAAACGTGTAAGATACATAATAATCGTGAATTAATAAAAGCGTTGTGTTTATTTATCAGAGATTAACATAGTGTAAATAAAAATGAAGGAGTAAAGAAAGGAATTTAGTTTGTTCTAATTATTTATCTAATTAACGATGTTAATGTACAGCAAGTGTCGAAAATATATTTAAAATTCGTTTTCCACATTTAACATATTTATCTAGATACAAATTATGTACCAAATTTGGGCTTTATCCATTTTAAATTAACATGTGTGACAGTTTTATTTTTCAACCTGTAATTTTCAAACGAACGCCCATTTCTAATGTGCACACATTCAATTAAACAAAAACCGGACGGTAGAATGCTGGAATGTTATAGGAAAATGAAATTAAGAACAACAGTTACATAAATAATCGGTTTCGTAAAGCTTTTTGACATAAGACCACTTAAAAAATGTCAATAAACCCTAAAAACACGAATCTAGGTTCTGTGTGCTTGCAACGTAAACAAAACAACCATTCTAAAATGTGACAGAAAGTGGTAATATCATGTTTTTGTTGTGACAGCAAAAACGGATACACGTTTGATGTAATTTTAACAAATACCCGCATCATACGCATATATTACACTGAAACCCTCCTATTACATAAAATAATTCCCAAGAGAAAACATGCATTGATAGATAAACATTGAGAAGTGTCGAGGAACCAAAACAGACCCGCCATATTGATAAGCGAATGTGTGTTTTCAATGTTTTTAGAGAGAGAATTTAAGATGACTGGACCTACCTGAATCGGAATTAGACTCCAATGTACATCCTATTGCAAACAGAGCGCCAAATTGAAGAATTCTCCACGCCATATATATGTATTCATTTGGAAATGTTGATTAAAATTTATTTCACCCACCACACTTCTAAACACACAAACACGTATTTAGTAAAATATCGCCGCTACCGCGCGAGTCGATTCTCATATTCTCAATGCCACAATCGAGTTTGTTTAGGCATGGCTAGAAAGAAATGAATTCTCCGTTTTCCGTATTCTACGTTCGTGTCTACCGATCGGGTCCCACGTGTGATCCTGGAAGTCGAAAGCGAACGAAGCGACGAAGTGAGGATACCGAGTGGGAGAGAAACTACCTGCTAATATCCTCTCGAGTCCAAATACTCTCGAATATGTGTAACTATGATCTGAACTGAATGAAACGTTTTGTAAAATTTAGTTTAATAATATTCGGGGTGCGAATTTTGACAGAATTGCGAAAATATCTCTTTTAAAATAAATATGTTCCCATTTTTAGTTGGATTTTTCTTTTCATGCAAATTTATTTTATTTTTCTCCTAAATTTAATTTATTCATCCAACTTCCTCTAATATTAATTATTCCAATGCCTTTAATAAATGTATTAATCCTCTCATGCAAATTTTAAGGATTTTTTTTCTTAGAAAAATTATTTTATTGCGGAATATTAAAAATTAACATTATTTTTATAGAAAATAGTGTAAAAAATGAATTTTTTTTTAAAACCTCAAAAATAGTCAGTCCACTCTATAATCGATTCACAATTTGTCGATAGCTTACTACAAGTTTAACACTAATTAGAGAACTAAAATATACAGAGGATAGGTAATACGATATAATAGTAAAAAACCAACCTGAAACTGACGGTTTAAGATGTTTTCGACTAACCCACCTTGTATCTGAAGGAATACAATACAGCAGTCAACCTTATAATCCGATTACGAAGGTATTTTGGTTACAGATGACTGACCAGTGTCGTAGGGTATATGATTGAAACATGTATTTGAACTAAATAAATATATTTTTTAAATTGTACTTATGTAAATTGTATTTTTGTCTTAATAAAACTTATTCAAAAATAAAAAGTTTCTTGCCATTTGTAAAAGATACGTTTATTTAATTAAGAGGAAAGGCGCCAAATGTCGCCTGGCAAAATTTTCTATGTGTTTTAAATGTATCCATTATTTTCGAATCCGGAGAAAACTTATAAATATTTTTGAAAAATTTAAATGCAGAATGAAAGATTACATTATGACTGATGGCAGAAAGCCCCTGAAAACTTCTACAATGTTTATTTTAATATATTATTTAACAGGGGTGAAAATAAAAGAGAAAATATAGTCTAATTTTTTATTGAAAATTTTTAATGCAAAAGAAACTTTTTATTTATTCTAATAAATATTTCATTCTGCCTTTAAATTTTTCAAAAATGCTTTTTAGTTTCTCAGGATTTGAAAAAAAAAATGGATACATTTAAAACACATTGAACATTTTGACAGGCGACATTTTGCGCCTTTTCCATTTAATACCTTACGATTACAACTACTATTACTTACCTTATATAATTACGATTAGAAAACTATTCAAATTCAAAATAAATAGGATCAACTTCGGAATCCGAGTCGTCTTGAGGGTTAATAATTAGCGGTTGTGTCTCTACGCCCTACGGTCACATCAATTATGTTATCAAGATCCCACATTTTTTGTTGTTCTATTACATGTCTTACTGCATCTTTCCAGTTTTGTTCTGTAATATGTTGTAAAGACTCGTATAACAATTCACGTACAGCTTGTATTTTATATGACGTATTTTTTCTAGCCACATAACTTTTCATTTGTGCCCAAATGAGTTCAATTGGATTTATTTCGCAGTGGTAAGGAGGAAGTCTAAGGACTGTGATGTTTCGCCTTTCCGCCTTTTGTCAACTACGTATTTCTTGAACTTAGATTTGTGTTGCCGGGCAATTTTTAAAAGTTCTGCTTTTACCATTCCATCTTCGTAAGGCAGATACTTATTCCGCAGCCAGTCAAGAATATCCTGTTTCTTCTACGCAGTCGTTGGAAGTCTTTCTACTAGTCGTGAATGATAAGGTGCATTATCTAATACTATAATTGAATTTGGTGGTATGTGTTCAATCATCTGCTCAATATACTCTTCGAAAACATCAGCTGTCATCTCCTCGTGATAGTCTTTTGTGCTTTTGGACTGAAATTCTAACAAACCACGCTTAACAAATCCTTTTTCACTGCCAATGTAAGAAATTATTAATCTACTGCCTTTTCCAGAAGGTGGGGAGATACCAGTAGACCAACCTTCCATAAAGGCTTGCCTGGAGCTTAATAAATTTTTATCTGACCAAATTTTTTTTAGAGTATGACCTGAGTTTACCCACGTTTCATCCTGGTAGAAGATTGACCTTCCTTCAGCCCGGAATTTTCGTATGGATCTTAGATAATTTCTTCTCCAACATATTATCTCCTCCCGGTCAATCAAAAGTAATTTTCGGTCTGATTTCTCCCACCGGAAATTTAATTCTTTTAAAACTGGCCACAATTTAGTTCGTCCGATATGAGGCAAATCCGGGTGCTCTCTAACTTCTTGTAAAATTTCGTTTAGGTTTGGTATTTCTTTTTTGAAAAAAAATTCATGAATTTTCCTTTGAATACCATTTTTGGCAAATTCATCAATTTCAATAGGCTTTTTTCCTCTCTTAAGCGTTCGTTTGTGTTTGGGTTAGTTATACCGTGTTTTTTTTTTCTTTCTGATAGGAACCTATATATAGTTGACTCCCCTACGCCAGTCATGTTGGCACACCTTTGATGCGAACAGTGTTTGTGGGATTCTGAGAAACCAGAGCATCGTGAACATCCAGGACAATAGTTTTCTCTCTTGGTGAATAGACAGACTTACTGACTGTACGCAACAGTACCGGTGTAAAACTTGATGATGTTGATGATGAAGCCATCACAAATAATCCAACAAAACGAGCACGAGCGAAAGGTACGTATATGTTCGTAGGTATATGGAATAAAAAATCACTCACGCACTGCATATAATTCGCAAAAGAAATATTCGAGACGCTAATTACTGCCGTAGACGCGGAAACACCGACGAGTCGTAAATTGCATGCGATCAAAAACGTACTAAACAAAAAAATTGTTTTCGTTCTTAATAGCTTCACCCTTTTAAGTTAAGTTTCGAATATAAACTAAACAGACGAGGCACGTGGCCAAAGCCGGCATCTTTATACCCATTATATTAATAAAAATCTGGGGAATTCCATCCTAATTATCTTACAACGAATAGTACCTTCGGATATGAATTCCAGGTTTTCTAGTAAAGTGATTAAAAGCGAAGATTAGTATTGAAATATCCAAACAGATAAGGTATTCTTATTTACAAAATTGTTAATGGTTAAATTCTTATTTTCATTAATATAATATAATAACCAACATTAGCCGTGAAAGTTTTAATTGTTTTTTTACTAAATATATTAGTATTAAAACATTATTAATATTGTATTAGTGATAAAACTGTCTTCTACAGTTTTTCAAATATTGGGAGAATGTGCTGAGTGAACAAAGTCAAAGCTTTCATCCCTAATACAAAATGTACTATAAATACAACATACTCGTGCCATTTTATATGGCATTCATAGAGTTTAAAAAGAGTTTTCGATACGATGGAAATATGAGCATTAATAATCGCGTTAAGGAAAAACCTAATAGACTGTCGATACACACAGGCCATTAAACATATGTACAAGGACGTCACTACGACAGTTAACCTATTTGCCGACAAACAATCGATTGCAATAAAAATGCCGTTAGACAATTGATTAGTTAGGATAAAATTGGAGGTTAGTGACTTACAAAGGGCAACGTCGTAAGGAACAGCAGTTCGTTAGTTGGATAATACTTTTAAGGGAAACGTCATAGTGTCACCTAAAATATCTACACTGACCCCACTTTCTTACCGTCTCTGATAGTTCTTAGACATGCAGTCCTATTCCTATTCCTCAGTATTCCTCCCAGTAAGTTTAATACATAGATAAGAGGGTTAAGTGTAGTATATCTAGTGGCTTTATATTGTAGCATATTTTACCGCCTGACATTCTAGAGAAAAATCTTTTTCAGATAATAAATTAGATTAATAAGTTTTACCCCTCGACCATTGATATTTTTTGGTTCTGGAGAACGTCTCCTATTGCTTAAACGCTTGCTATTTGGTAAGTCAACTCTTCTATGATTCGCATAAGTGTTTCGATCAGACACAATGAGTTTTAGCACCACTTTTATACTTTCTTTCTTTTTAGAGTTGTTTCTAGACTACTTTATAAAATTCTTGTTTAAATTACAAATGGTATCTTTGTTTTATTCGTTTTTGCAACTTAACTTTAAAGGAAATTTATTAACGAAGTTATATTTCTTTGACATATCGTCTTGGAATATGACCCAATACTGATTTTCATAAAATTTTAATCAATGATTGGAACTAATGATTCCTTTCTTGATCATGCTATATATGATCTTAGTTTTCACACTCTGCACTAGGCCACTAGGATATGTAAAGTCAACTATTACTTTCATACTTTCTGGGCATGTTCTCTTTTCAGCTGTTATGCATAGAATAAGCTAGTCTTTGAAGTTTCGCGAGATTATTTCTCGTGCTGCTAGATTGACTATACCTCTCCAGTTCACTGTTCCGTAAGCGATAATTGATCTCACTATTACCATGTACACTGACCTGGGGATTTTTAGGATAATTCCCCAATTTTCTCCCGCCAAGTTTATGCACACCATTAGAGCTTTTGTCGCCTTAACCTTTTTTTCAGACTCTATTCATGTTATCGAGCCCTGGATGACTTGGTATGCTGGAGTATCTCCCAAAAATGTTCGTACACATCTGGACGTCGCGAGGAATAGAGCTTTCTGCATGGCCTTATAGAGATGTTCGCTTAGACCAAACTGTTTTATGTTCTCTAGGAGGTTTTTGGGAATAACACCAGTAGTAGATAGAATAATCATTGTCTTCTGATTTGTATTTCTAGATCTCTGTACTTGGTGGTCTTTTCGTTATATTTAACACGTAAATTCTTGGTGTTGGGTATCGTTGCACCAATAAGTGTTGTTTGCCTAATAAGTTTATTAACTAGTATGAGATCCGGTCTATTATGTGCCACT